TGGGTTTTTTTCTTTTTTTTTACTATTGGGCATTTTAGTTTTTAGTTTTTATTTTTCTTAATTTTCATATATAAAATTGATTTTTATAGTATTTTTCAAGAAATTAATTAATATTTTAATATAAATTGACAATTTTAACTCTCAAATTGAAGGTAATATTGATGGAATGTAACAGTATGACAAATTTGCCGATTAATATAGAATTGGTAGACCATTTGAACGAATAATTTAATTGAGGAACCAAAATGTAACTCAAGTATAAGTTTAAAGATCATTTGAATAAATAACCTATTTAATATTATATAACTTTGATGTACAAGCAAGCAGTAGCTAAATTGAAATTGACCAGACTAAACTGCGAAAGTTACAATTAGAAACTGCGAAAGTTACAATTAGGTTAACCAACTGACATTATGATCCCCAATCAAAGCCTCAAAACCCAAATAGTACCCCGCGATTATTATGCATTGCATAATTGACAATAAATTTGGGTGAACCTTCTTGCCCATTCAATCCAAGTTGTTATTAACGAATCTTCGAGTACATATGTCGTAATTAAAATTATTTATTTTTCGAATTACTATTTATTAAGTTAACGAATCTTCCGTATTTGTTAAATAAATGAACGGTTTATCATGAAAATCTTAATTGTTATCAAAACCGTCAATTTCTTCAATGCATATGCATTATTGCATTATTAGGAATCTCAATTTTGGTTGATTTTTAGTTTGGACTGTGACATTGGGTAACTAGAATCAATAATAATTGGACTTTTTTGTCCGTTTGAGGCCCCTTCCGGTTACTATCTTATCCAACTTTTTTCTATTATAGTTGTCTATTCAGACACAATTTACAAAACCAAAAACCTGGAAATAAAATGATTTCTAAATAATAATCAAGCAATAGCGACGGCCCAGAAGACGACTGCCAAGTGTGGAGTTGCTGCATATGCCGAGCTGTACCACTGCAAAGTAAACCAACCCATTATTCAGAAAATAAAAAAATAAAAAAAGTTGCATATGAATTTAATATTTTGTAGCATGGCTGGGGTATTATTTGGGTACTGTCCATGGGCCCCATAAAGTCATTTTAGAACGACAAATATTTTGTCTTATTTGTCGCCAAAATATTATTACTTTATAACCACTTTAGAGTAGTCTATTAGTTTTTAGTGGCTGGGGAATAGTATTTTTTTGTTATTTTTAGCTAATAACGCACCGAATAATTTTTTTACATATTATTACGTTATTGACCGGGTATAATAAAACAGTACTATACCCATAACCAGTTACAAGAAAATTTTTCTATTTTTTCAGGCTCCAAAAAAGAAGCTGCAAAATATCATAAAACTGAACAAAATGAAAGGTTATCATTATATCTGATAATAAAGTTAGGATTAGGGTGAACAGTAGAGAAAGAAAGATTTGGATGTCACTGAGTTGACAGTTGAAGACGAAGTGATGATGGACGGCTGTGATGATTTGGACTGAATGAGTGGGGCAGATCATCTGATACTGATATAGATTTACTGATAGATGAAGGGTCTTGAGAAATCCAGGTGGATGGAGACGGTTCAGCTGGAGAGAGCCTTCTCTAATCTAATAATGTCATATATTCATTGTCACGTCCCAAAATGCAATCTGTTTGCATTGTAATGTATGGTCTTATCTTATGGCAATCACCGTGGCCTCTCTGTCTCTCTGAGTTTTTGTGTTGATGGTGAGTTGGTTATCAATCAATTAATTAACCAAGAAAAATTCGACCAAATTGTACTTGCACCAGACAATCACAGCAAAGAAGGAACTCTATGCCAGGTTTTGCTCATTAGTTTGTTCTCCATGTTGGTAATACAAAAGGCTCAATCGAGAATAATCATTCGAATTCAATTCACCGAATTGCGATTTTAACAAAACTCTCGGATCACTATTGTTAAAAAAACATCAATTTCGTATGAAAACTCGTAAGGTACTATACTAAAAACTTACACATGACTGATCTTTTTAACCATACTCGATATCATTGATACACGATCTACTAACATATTGCTCGCATACATAGAGCGTTACGAATTCATTTTATTTAAACAATCCTCAAACGGGATCATAAAATCTCCATAAATTTGATGTCAAATCAAAACAAAAAGGGCCTAGTGATTTAGTACGGTAAAATTGTACCTAAGGAACACATTAGAGACCACATCTAGTAAAAGCTCGGAAAGCTCATTGTCTGGTGGCCAACATTAATATGCGTTGAAGAAGTCTTATTTATTTAGGCATGCATGCACAACCACGTGTGAAGTGTAGTACTGTAGCTGATCCCAACTATGGATATTAATTTATAACGATGTGGGATCCATATATTTCGTGGACGACTGACTGTCCTCAGGCCGACTAACAAATTTGATAAACTGTCCATGCTCCATCTTTGATTTGTCTACTTCACAACCCATGTAGCCATGTACGCGTTGGGGCCCTAAGCATTATGAATCTTCCCCCTGGTAGATGAACACAACAATTCCCATGTTTAATTCAGTCGACAAGTGTTCTTAATTACAACATTATGTTCTAAAGTTTTCTTTTTAACTGAAAATGAAACCCTTCGCAAATTCTATAAGCCTAATGTAACTTAAATGATTAAAAGCAATTATTCCTGCACTCGAGGTCATGTGTTTGAATGTCCTCTATCAAAATCTCTTCCATATATTTCGTGGACGACTGACTGTCTTCAGGCCGACTAACAAATTTGATAAACTGTCCATGCTCCATCTTTGATTTGTCTACTTCACAACCCATGTAGCCATGTACGCGTTGGGGCCCTAAGCATTATGAATCTTCCCCCTGGTAGATGAACACAACAATTCCCATGTTTAATTCAGTCGACAAGTGTTCTTAATTACAACATTATGTTCTAAAGTTTTCTTTTTAACTGAAAATGAAGCCGTTCGCAAATTCTATAAGCCTAATCTATTTTGCGCAAAAAGTTTGTAACTTAAATGCTTAAAAGCAATTATTTTTGCACTCGAGGTCATGTGTTCGAATGTCCTCTCTCAAAATCTCTTGTGTTGGCCGTGACAGTTAAAATAGTTTACTACTCACTAAAGGGGTCTTTGTCTAGAGGTGGCAATGGGTCTATCAAAATCTCTTAGTTCGACCGTTATAGTTAAAATAGTTTACCACTCACTAAAGGGGTCTTATCTAGGGGTGGCAATGCGTCGTGTTGTGTCGGGTTCGTGTCGTGTCAAGATTATATGTGTCAAGAATGCTAAATTCAAATCCAACCCGTTTAATAAACGTATCATTTTTGGGTTGACCCATTTATTTTCCATGCAGATTTCGGGTCATGTCGGGTTGACCTGCTAAGTGGTAGCAAATAAAAAAAAAAAATAATCTAAATTTCGATAAATTAATCAAGTAATTGCATTTTATATTTATTATTTAAAATAATTATTGCATTTTGCCCCTCCCTATATATAAAAATTGAGAATGAGAAATTTAAAAATAAAGAAAATGAAGAAAAAACAAAGAAATGGGTTGGCGGGTTATATAGGTATTTTAGAGGATTGACAGATTATATAGGTATTTTAGCGGGTTAGCGAGTTGACCCGTTTAATAAATTGGTTAAACAGGTGTCGGGTTGGCAGGTTACATAGGTATTTTATCGGGTTGGCGGGTATATAGGTATTTTAACGGGTTGGTGGGTTGACCCATTTAATAAACGGGTTAAACATGTGTTTTAGCGGGTTGGCGGGTTAACTCGAAACTCACCCATTTATAAACAGGTCACTGGCGAATTGACTTGAAAATGACTAGTTTTTTAATCGTGCGGGTTCGTGTCATATTTTTTTGATGCGAATTTCAAGTCGTGTAACGGGTCGTATTGAAAATTGCCACCCCTAGTCTTGTCTTCTATATAGAACTCCCCATTAATTTTGTACAAAACAATGATACAAATTGAATTTGATACACCCTTTTGCTTTTGCAGACAGAAGATTCTTTGATTACTTTCGATTAATTTAAGCTGCTGTAAATTAAAGTTAATATTCAAGTAATTTAGTTATAGGCGTTGTAAATAGTGGGATATAATAATAGAAAATATTGAATATAGTAGAATTAGAAGTAAAAGCGCCGCGTGAGACAGCGGAGAGAGGACATGCAGGACACGTAGTGGCAGCAGCAAAGCCTGCGAGGCCGTAGCATTGGAGGAGGAATCTATATATTTGCAGAAGCTTTTGTTCTTGGAATTAAAATTGTTAAATAAATATAAGAAGCAAAATAATTAATTAATAAATAAATAGATTAATATAATAGCAGAAAAAGAGAAATGAATCCGTGCGAAGAGTAGAGACTAGAGAGGGGTTGAGTTGAGTGTGCATACATAGTCTTTTATAGATTCTTCCGCTTGGGCTGTCTGCAAAAATATTTAAGTGTTATGGTTGTCTTTTTACACACTTTTTTAAGCGTATAGGGAGAAGTCAGTCTTCCACGTGCTCCTGGGGACTCTCTCCCTCTCTCCCTCTATCTCTCTCCACAACTTCAATGCCATCATATAATTATTTTCTCCCACTCAATTACACCCTCTGACCATCTCTGCTTACTCCTTTTCTCTGTTTTGTTTGCTTCCCCCTCTCAAACCCCATCTCTCCCAAGCACAGAAAACCAGAGAACAAATACCCATTATTCTCCACCAAAAATAATGCAAAAATATCAAACACCCCATCTCTAGTTGAGCACAAAGATTTGGTTTTGGTTACAAGCTTGATGATGATGATGATGGAAGGCATCAAGGGAGGAGGAGGAGGGAGGGTGAATGGCGTGGGGGGCCATCATGATCAAGTTCAAGATCAAGACATGGGAGATGGGATGCAGTGCAGTGACCATCCATACAGAAACAACCCAGGAGGGATCTGTGCTTTCTGCCTCCAAGAGAAGCTTGGGAAGCTTGTGTCTTCCTCTTTCCCTCTCCCCATTCATGCTTCAGCCTCCCCTTCTTCCTCCCCTTCTTTTAGATCTGACACTGTCAATGTTGGTGTTGCTCATAATGGCAATGGTGTTGCTGCTGGTCCTTCTTCCTCTGCTGCCTCTCTCTCACTCTCCCTCTCAGTCCACCCAGCCTCAGCTTCTGCAAAACCTAGAAGCAATATTGGTAACAGTTATCGTCATGAAGATGACTTCTACAGCACAAGGAGAGCCAGGATTTCGTTTCTCTTGGCGAAGAAGAAGAAGAAAGTGAGCACTGCTACTTCTAATGCTGCGTCTTCCGATCGAGCGGCGGCTGATGTTGTGTTCAAAAGAAGCAAATCGACCACAACCCCAAGAAGAGCCCACCATTTCCTGGATGGTTCTGAGGACTTCAGCCCCAGAAAGAGAGGTGGGTTTTGGTCGTTTCTCTATCACTCTTCCGCCAAGTCCTCCTCATCAAACAGTTTGAACAAGAAAGCAATCGAAAAGTCCAAGATCTCGTCCTCTTCTTCCTTCACATCGTCAGCGGCGCAGAAAGATTCCAAATGCTTGGGGTCGTCCTCTCAAAGGAATAAAAGCGAACACCTTGCGGTCGAGGCAGTAGCTGCAGCAGACGACGACAGCGCTAGCCCCAACAGCAGCCAAGCCACTGCTGCCTCGGGCTCCTCGTTCGAGCGCAAGGTCTCGAGATCCAGATCCGTCGGGTGCGGCAGCAGAAGCTTCTCCGGCGACTTCTTCGAGCGGATCTCAACTGGGTTCGGCGACTGCACTCTCAGAAGGGTCGAGTCTCAGAGAGAAGGCAAGCCGAAAGCCAGCGTCCACCGTCAGGGCGAGCACAACAACAGCCACTGCATGAAAGAGCGAGTGAAATGTGGTGGGATTTTCAGTGGGTTCATGATGACATCATCATCTTCATCTTCATCGTCTTCCTCTTATTGGGTTTCGTCTTCTGCAGATGGACAGCTCGTCCATGGGCGCAGCAGGAGCTGGGGCTGGGCTTTTGCTAGCCCCATGAGAGCCTTCACCAAGCCTTCTTCTTCTTCGAAAGATGGGAAGAGAGATATAGTTAGGCAAGCTTCAGATAAGAACACCACCCCCAACCTGAATGCCATTCCTTCCTTGCTATCAGTCAGAGGTTGATCTTCATCACCATTTTCATCATACACATTATTAAACTCTGTTAATTAATTAAATTACTTAAATTACCCACCTGTTTATTATTAATTACTCTACTAGTCCCTGTGTTTATTTATCTTAATTTGGTGGTCTGCAATTCCATTAGTAATGTAACACATTGGGTTTCATCCTAAATCCTAATTAGTCTCTTGGTTTCATGGCTAAAATTTCTTGTGCTTGCACAGTGACTACTGTTTTTTTTTTTAATTTTTAAAGTGAAGTGCAGATGTTGACCATCTTTATCTGTTCTTCTGTTGTTTTTGGGATTTGCTGTATTTTTTCAGTCTTTGAATTTTTATTTTATTTGTAATTTGGACCTTGATATTAATGTTATGGCAAAGAAATATGAGTATTAATTTCTTCTTAAAAAGTATAAATTGCATGTGTGGCTTCTTGTGAGCTTTCAGTTGTCACATGCATACACATGTTTGGTTGGTGTTGGACAAACTGTAAGCTCCAAAATCACAATGGCCCATGTTACAGAATCCCCAGCACTATTTGGTTTTGGACTGCACTGGACTAAATAAAATTTTCTTATGATGACCCCTTTGACAAAATATACTTTAATTAATTCTAGGGGTCCCCCTTCCACCCTGGTTGTTTAAATGTCCCTAAGATTCACAGATGGGGGAGATTGAAAATATCTGAGGAAAGGAAGTTTTTAGCAATGATATGCATGATCAAACCAATTTGGGGGGACTTCTCTTCAGTGTCGTTATGTTTTTGAGAGGGATTTTTGGGAACCTATGGGGAGATGCCAAGTGTTCTTTGACTGGATGGGTACGTGGGTAAACTCTTGCTTGATTGGGTGCGGTGGGATTTGTTGCTTTGGTTGGATAGAATGGGTCATTTGGATGGCATCTAAGTAAATATGGGGTTTTAGGGGGAATTTGAATATGATCTTGGTGTAGTGACGGGTTTTAGGGGGAATTAAGATTTTCATGATAAACTTTTATTCATTTTTTTGGTTTTAATATAAAAATAGCATTTTGCCCTTGCATTTAACAGAAAAAGTTAACAACATTGACCGTAGGACCATTTGTCCTAACAAAATTGAAGTTAAAGGACCACGGGAAAGATTTTGAAAATTGAGGGACTCAAATGCAAATCGGGTCTAAATTCAAAGACTAATAAAACGATTAATCCTATGTTATAATAAGAGTCTTTATTTATTAAAATTATATCCTAAAAATCCAAGACATATTAACCCTAACATCTATTCATATTATAACATGTAAATTATCATGATTCATGACACTCAAAAATCTCTCTTTAGAGTGTTGTGTTTTATTCGAATTTGGATATTGGCATGATTTTATTTCTCGAGCTTGAAAAGTTTCTTCTCAATCTCAGATCTTTAATAATTATTACATACTTTAACATACAATATGGATATGGAACTCACTTTTTATTCCAAACAAATTTTGAGCTAACATCGACTGTGGGATGTGGAAACAAACAAAGATGTTATTGTTTTTTTCCCCTTTATAGTGAAAGGAATATTGTTTGGAAGTAGAAAAAAAATGTGAAAACTCATGAGACGGGCAAGAGTTCCAAATTTACAAAAGGACAGCTTTTCATGTGGGTCATTGTTTATTGACTCACAAGTCAGAACGCAGAAAAGAGTAATAATATGTGGACCCGGCCCATGTACTTGTACTTTTAACCCATGGGCTTTAGATTTCCTCCTCCTTTTTTACACAGTTCCCGCAAGCCATATATATGGACATGGATGTGAAATTGTGGACCCGACCCGAGTGCTTGTACTTTTATCCCCTACCAGCTGGTGCAATGCATAAATAGGTTATATTTTTCACTAGTTTTGCATTCACATTCAATAATGCACAAAACAAATTGTGTAAACAATTATGTATCTCATTATGAATGCTACCAAAAAGAGAAAAAATACTCCAAGGAAAAAGTGCTGGATTAGATTCAAAGGAATAGGTAAAAGGCTACGAATGAATTTATGTCGAAATCAATCACAAATGATTCTTATGGTTTGTCGTGCAAGTTAATATGGGTAATGTATCTTTTGGAGAGCCATTGCGATCTACATTTATAAGTAATTTTCGTCAAATATGCAATTTTGTCAATTTTGTGTTAGGGGACATTCGTGTCAAGGTGTAAGCATTTTTGTTTTTGTTTTGATATAAGCGATATTGAGGGACCGCTTAAGAAAATTAAACCATGAAATCATGTTGGCATTTCGGATATGAAATTGAGCTCCATATCAAAGTGGGAAAAAGAATCGGAACTGCTACTCTGCTCCGCCTTTACTTTACGCGATCAGGATCAAAGCTTTTCCCAGATTCCAAAGCCTAGTGCTTGTAAATTTCCTCCTCAATTAGCACGCTAATCAAATTCATTGTCGGATCCCTTTTTCGGTTTGTTTTGTTTTTAGTTGCTGCTTTAGCTACACACAAAGTTCCTCTTTCTTATCCATTCCTATTATTTTATGTAAACACAGATTAGTGTGGTTAAACCAACTTGAAGAGGAAGAGTAGAGACAAAACAATATTATTAATTATTATCTTTATTATAATAGGCTAATATTAACCCACCACCGTAACTCTCGGCTTTTTTGATGGATAGAAGTCGAACTTTATTAGTTCCAAGTGAACTACTGTCAGTGACCACATGAAAGTCGGGACACAAGCACATTCCAACAAGGAGATGGCTACCTAAAGCAATTCATAAGGACTGAAAGACAAAAATAAATAAATAATAGAAAACTGGATATGGGTGATATAACAATTGTGGCCTCATTAAAATCTTCCTTAAAAAACATCGGGTAAGGAAAATCCCGGATAAGGAAAATCCGGTCAGGAAAAAGAGTAACACTGCATCACAACCAGCTAAAAAGCTCCTAAACTACTATTAGCTCACATAATCAGGATTAATAATTAATTAAAAATCCTTAATGCCAAGGACACCACAATGATCTCGTAATGATACATCCAAGTCCTACACATATCACTTGTTCTGCTAGTCACTGTTGTGGGCTTGGGCTCACTTTGTTCTGTGTCCCAATAGCATTTCTCGGAGCTCCACCGGGTCAATCTCGTCCGCACAATTGGCGGGCCTGTAATATCCAGTTCGGGGATCTGGGGCCCACGCAGATGAAGAGCCAAGCCCAGATTCTTCTTTCATAGCATTCACGACCCGCTCTTCCACCATAGAGCTCCTGGACCCTCCCCTACCCAATCCAGCTGGCACCGGCCCGTGTGACGCGGCTGCATAACAACGCCTGTTTCACCACAATTAAAAACAGTTATTCATACACCCGAGGTAAAACGAAAATTGTAATTTAGTTCTAAAGAAAAAGAAAAAGAAAACAAAAACACAAAAACTTGACAGAGTAAAACGCACCGTTGAATAAGGAACTTAGTTTTGGGGAGAAAGGAAGCCAGTGGATTTGATTTGGTGTATAACAGAGAAGCCATGAGAACGAAGGAGAAAGGGAAAGAGAGGTGATGTTCCTCTCCCTTCTTCAGTTCGTGGGCTCTCTTTGGGGTGGCGGCGAAGAGAAGGGTTAGGGTTAGGGTTTGTGTTTGCCTTCTTTATATATAGACAGGGTAAATGGGTGAAGGCTGTAAAGTCATTGACACGTGGGTGCAAACGCTGTTACGTTTCTCTGATTTATTTATTTTTATATATTTTAATGTCTATGGTTAGGAATAAAATCCTCCCTAAAATCTAACCTAAATTTCTCATTTTGGTTCCAAAAGGACACTGAGGTGAATTGGTTGGTGAAGGACACTTGTGTTGTGTGTATATCCAAGTTTCCAACGCATCTTTACCTGGGAAAATCTTTTTGAGATAGAATATTTCAAAATAATAGGGCCACCAATGGATATACTATGGTAGTACTAGTGATAATCTAGAAATTAGGTTATGGGATTTTCCCAAAAAGAGAAGAAGAAAGTTTATGGGCTAAGCCCAACTATCCTGAATATCTTTGGGTCATCTGGTTAGCCTCCTTTTTATATAGAGATATTTAATCATAAACCCATTCTTAGTACTAAAACTATAAATAAACCATACCACCAATTAATTTCTATAAACAAACTCCAAAAAACCCCCAAAAAATGACAGTTAGTCCTATTGAATTTAATTTTGATTTATTAAATTACTTTGATTTAAGGGTTTCAGTTTGAATTGGGCAAGGTTGGTCCGATGTCAAGGGAAAGGGTGCTGGAACTTCTCTCTTACTTACCCATGCGTTGGGCTCAAGAAAGTGGGCTTGGGTTTTGGTGATCCCAAGTGGCCCAAAACCTCCACCTTTTGAACCCTCAATGGGCCTTATGGACCCTCGTACCCATCCACACCACAACTCGCTTAGCAAGTCTTAGGCATGTATGTGGCTTGAGCCTACTTAAGCTTGTCGAGTGGTTTGGCACTAAAGGGAGTAGCTTGGCATGACATGTTATTTGCGTGCTTATGCTTGGGCTACGTTATATTGCAGTGGCTAAGGGCTGTGCTAGATAATGCTTGACGAAGCAGTGGGCTAGGTGAGCACGAGCATGTGACATTGTTCAACTCTATAGGTTTGCATGTGAAATTAGTAAACCGTATTGTGACCTCCCCACGTGCCAAATTGTAGTCTTGCTTGGCATGTCACAAATATAAAAGCTTGTTTAGGCACTTAGTAGCCGTATTTGATGGGCCTCCGCGTCTGTTTTATAGCACGATAATAAATTAAGCTTAAAAATATGCACGGATCTTCCTTGAGATTTTTTGGGCCTTAGTTTCACTAAAATACCCAAAATGGGGGCTGAAATTATAAAAATACCCAACACCCAAAACACTTTATAAACATACCCAAAACTCATCATTACACACACTCAAAACCCATTTATAAACATACCCAAAACCCATCATTACACATATACCCAAAACCCATTTTGGGTATGTTTCTATGTTTAAATAGTGCTTGTGTATTTTTTTAAATACATGTCTAAGATTGGGTATTTTTATAAATATCTAGGATTGGGTATTTTTATAAATATCTATATATATTTACTATTGCTAGGGAAGGGAGCTTTGATTGAAAATAATAAAACATATATAATTTGAAAATAATAGGGCCACCAATGGAAATACAATTCGAATCCCAAAATCTTCGTTATTTCATAACAGATTTACTTGGAAGACAAATTAATAACCCGAAACCAACTAGCTATAGGGTATAGTCAAAAGGTTACATCCTTAATTGACCTTATTGATAGCAAATACATACAAATAAAGAAGCAAACTGCAGCATGCAGTTGCCATATTATTCTTTTAATTATTACTCTGTACGCTATTTAATTGATGAGGTTGAAGCCGCCTGGGATGATGTTGATGATGTTGAGGAGACCGGAAATGGTGTTTCCGATAAACTGCAAGGGGGATGCCAGAAGCCCGGTCAACGAAGAGTTGCAGGCGGAGAGCGGTGTCCTCACCATCAGCTTGCAATCCGACAATAGTGAAGAGAGGAGAAATTGTAGAGGATCCAACAAGATTGAAAAGATTCCTTGGCTATTGGTTGTTGCAGTTGAAATCACATTCCCCAAAGTTCCACACAGCAGTTGTAGAGTAGCATCTACAACAAACAAACATAACAAATATATGGTGAAAGTAGAAAATATTCTGTTGCGAGGCTTATATGTACATATCGTCACATTATGAATATGAACCACACGTTTTGGTAAGAATTATTCTCATCGTAATTCATATTCACGGGCATTAACAATAAAACATTACTTTGATTGAAATTAAATTGATATCAGAAAAATTAAACATGCATATGGCTGATTAATTAGGGTTTGGAGTAGCCAGCTAATCTAATTAGGGTTTGGGGTAGTTAGCTAATTAGTTTACTTACTTGCGAATACCGGGGTAGCGGAAGCACCACCGGTGCCCACATTTCCGGTGGGAGAGCAAAACAGAGTTCCTTGTATGCGGATCAGACCAAGGAGGCCGCTGATGAGCCCAAGTTGAGCTTCAGCTATTGGAACTACTATTGCCACTGTGGCAACCAAGAGGCACACAAGGAGAATTGTTTTGGAGGCCATTGGTCCTGAGTGCAACAGTTCAAGTATTCTTCTTTGCTAAGTTGCTAATTAACTGGACTTGCAGAATTGCTGTGCAGGAATGACCAATTTATAGGCTAAGCTAAGCAAAGCAAGCCACAAGAGGGACAAGTTGCTGCAGATTTTTCTGACTAAATGAAAAGCTTTCTGTGCGGCAGTTTGTGTAAAAACGACAGTATACATTTTGGATGATCCGGACAATTATGCCAAGGAAAGTTATAACATTCTTGTCTTACGTATTTCCATCAAAATCTATGGTTGTCATGAAGTTCATACACCATGCACGCGGGCTCAGTGGGTGGGCTTCACCCTAGAAGCCAACTGTTATACCTTCCATAGCTAGCTCTGTGTCTTAGCATGCCCTAATATGAGAACTTGTCATCAGTTGTTTTCTCTCACTAGATTTAATTGGCGACTGTTTTATTGCTAGCTAGCTATAGATTACCTTGCCAAGATGTGTAAGTTTGGTTTGACCCAGAATAAGTGGTCAGACATTTACTTCAAAAAGTCCTAAGTAGCTATAGCTAGCTAGCTAGGTCCATGGATCCCCATGATCCAGCTACTAGTTAAATCAAGTTGCGTCTAGCTGCGGGCACTAAGTATATGGAATGTAAACATTGGACAATGACACGGGCTGTAAATTATAATTTACATGTATTTCTCCCAAATTTTCCAAGGCCTTATATAATGGAATGTAGGGTAAAACCTATGTGGTCATAGCAAAGTGTCATCATGCTATTCAAATGAAGGAGGAAAAAGTACATGTTATGAGTAACTTTGCTCTTCATTTATGCAATTTATCTATTTATTTTGGGAGGTGATTTTCCCACTCCTCTTTTCTCCACTTACACTTCACAACATTGCCCTACATACACATGGGGGTGCGAGCGTGCACACACATATATTATAAGAAAGAGACTGCAAAAGAAACCTTGGGATGGCTGGTGAAAGGTCGATCCCAACCTCCATTGACATCCCAATCAGAAAGAGTTTCTAAGGTTGAGATGTCCAACTCTTGAAGCTGATAATTCTCTGTGAGGTAAAAGAATAAATATATACAATTCTGGGGAAGGTATGCATGATATTCAGAAAATTGTGAAGCATCATTTATACCATGCATACACATTATCAATTCTGTAATATGCTATGTACAATGATTTCAATAAAAGCACAAACGAATCGTCATTGATAAAAGTGAAGTTTCTTACTACAAGTCCAGCGCTTTCCAGTTTCAATGGAGGATTTCTTTTTGCCAACACGTCCAGGATGATAAACTTTTACACAGTCCCTAAAATGAGTAATTGTGTTAAAATATAGAAGTATAAAAATGTCCTAAGTCCAGGCACAGGAATAATTCATGGCACATGTGTAAATGCTAGAAGAGACCAGAAAGTACAGGTTGAGGATCAACAGAAGATGCAATGCTCCCTTCTGGTATCCAAAATTACAGCCACACAGAGAGAGAGTAATGCTCTCTTCTTTCTCGATATCTTAACTCTAGTAAAGTAATAGATAATTGACTAAATAATCATCCTCCAATTAACTAAGTCAAACTAAAAAGTACAAGACTGGTAAGAGTTGATAGCATAACCTAAAAAAAATCGTATAGCCGCGTGGCTATACTTATTTTGACACGTGGCGCCTAAACGATAAGCGGTCTTTTTTATATATAAAAAATAGTATATACGCGCTGCTATACTCAGTGTTTTTAATTTTTTTTTTAAAAATTGTATAGCCGCACGGCTATACTTCTTTTGACACGTGGTGCCTACTTGCTGGACTGATCCTTTTGTTTAATAATAAATAGTATAGCCGAGTGGCTATACTTGGTTTTATTAATGTTTCTTTAAAAACAGTATAGCCGCGCGGTTATACTGTTTTTGACACTTGGCGCCTGGGCGCTGTGCGGCTACTCTGTTTTTTTTTTTAATAAACAGTATAGCCGGTCGGCTGTAATGGTTTTTTTGGGTTTTAATTGCATTTAATAAATAGTATAGCCCAGCGGCTATACACTATATATATACTGGGATTTCTTTTTCTTTTAAATTTTTTCCCCGATTTTCGGTTATCGATAAGAGTAGTTTATAGCATTACCCATTACTATCAGGCCATTAATTGGGTCTCTATTGTCCCCTTTTAATTTTTTACTTTTCCAGAGTTATTACTTGTATAAAGAATTTAGCACTTTCACGTTTAATACTCTATTATACACGTACATACCTATTTTTCAATAATACATCCGTGTTCTGTACACGTCTTAAAGACTCGATAAAATTCACGTTTTTTTAAAAAGCAAACGTACAATACTCATATTGTACATGTAAGTATGCATTTCTCTTGTTTAATACACATATTTTTTTACAAAATTTTCAATAAGACAAATAAAATTCACATATTATATAAATAATTCTCACATATTATTGAATAAAAATAATATATATTAAAAAAATTATATTAAATATTATATGATGGCAGATTAATATATGTTTTGGATATGTTGAAACTAGCAAATTAATATCTATAAAGTATAAACTAATGCAACTAGGGTGCTTTTTTCTTAATTTTTTATTTATTCAATAGTACAACCGTGCGGCTATATTTATATTGTCTAGCCGTGCGGCTATACTACGATTAAAAAAAATATATAGTATAGCCGTTCAGCTATTCTTATTTGGACATGTGGCACCCAATTGCTAGGGTCCTCTTTTAAAAAAAAGAAAATAGTACAGCCGTCTTTTTTTATTTTTTTCGTTTTTTATACATAAATAGTATAGCCGCACGGGTATACTCATTTTTATTAATGTTTCTTACAAAATAGTATAGCCGCGCCGCTATACTCGATTTTATTCTAATTTAAAAAAAAAAACTTGTATAGCTGTGTCGGTGGACCTTTAAAGTATTCTATTTTGGAGTATCACCGTGTGGCTATATCTTTAAAATATTTTATTTATAGAGTATAGACGAGCGGCTATACTCGGTTTTTTTGTTTTTTTAAAATAGTATAGCCGATCGGCTATACTCGGTTTTTTCTTATTTTTTTAAAAAATAGTGTAGCCGACCGGCTATACTTCTTTTTATTAATGTTTCTTACAAAATAGTGTAGCCACGCTGCTATACACGATTTTTTTTTCTTTCAAAAATTGTATAGCCGTGTATAGCCGAACGGCTATACTCGTTTTTATTAAAGTTTCTTCCAAAATAGTATAGCCGCGCGGCGTTACCCGATTTTTTTCTTTTAAAAAAAAAATTGTGTAGCTGCACCGCTGGACCTTTAAAGTATTCTATTTTTTAGTAACGCCGTGAAGCTATACCTTTAAAATATTCTATTTATAGAGTATAGACGCGCGGTTATACTCTTTAAATATATTTCCACATTTCACCAACAGTAAAAATATGGATTTCTCTATAGGTTTATCTTTTGAGGTGCCCTTTGTGAAAATCCCACATAAAAAATCCACACTCTTGTAAATTGTAAAGGTGTTTATAAACAAAGCATTATGATGGTTTTGTACACCATCCAAATCCAGGATAGTTTTGTACAAGTGATTAATGCAACCTTTCAAGGAACAATCCTTCATGTTTTTTACTATAAACCCAAGAGGTAGAGTCAGGAAACTGTAGAGTAAATTAACAAAATCCTCCCCCACTTCTGCGTAACAGACCATCTTCTTAGATTTGCTGACCACAAGATTCAGAGAAATCTTACCTTCTTCATCATCCATTGAATCTCCAGACATTTGATATTCATTGAGTATTCCTTGGTTAAGAATTGTACTCCTCAATTTTGGTTCTTGTTCAGGATTCAAGAGGGTTTCAGTCAAAGGTGTTTTTGACACTAAGCAACTTAAAAGCAAATTACAAATCTGGAAAAGATAAACAGCTTAGAAACAACCACTATAGTTTAACCAAGAAATAAATAAGACATATAAAGAAATTACCTCAGCAGTTCCAATATTGATAGCCAACTCCTCAGTAGCATGCACATCCACGACACCAAGCTTAGTAAATAATACAGAATCGGTTGATGCACTTGGGGGGATCACTTGTAAATCATCAGCAACTATAAACCCGGTTCGTCTTTTTACAAAGACACTTGCAACTGAAAGCCTCTTCTTCTCAACCATGGTTGATGAAGAAAGGCCATATGTGGTTGATGAATACGAGCAAGGACAGTAGGTACCATAGTTATAACTTAAGAACTTACATAATTTGGAGCACATAAAGTAACTTCTTGGCTCAGCATTGTCAAGTTTCAATTTGAGGCAATTGCAAAGAAAATCAGCTGCATTGGCGGGACGCAACAACATGTCCTTAAACTTAGGAAACCTAAATTCTTGTTCATCAATATTCTCAACACTTTCATATAAGTTGTTCATGCAACCTATTACCATGGGATCTGAATGTTTACGTGCAAGCCTGATAATTGTTCCCATGGGGATTGTCATGAAACTGAAGAGAACATCAACAAAATCATTGTCAGGCTCTATGAAGATAACTTTGTTACTCCCCTTGTCCACCAATACCTTCAACTCAATATTGTTGGTAGATTTATCGGCCATGGACTGTAAGAAAAAAAAACTTGGATCAATATACTCTCTCTATTCAAATCCAATTAGCAAATGACAGAAACTAAACAATAGTCAAGGAAAAATGATCCAGATTCAAACTATAATCTGTTGAGAGTGTTTGTCCCACATTGAAATGTTAAGGGACCTAACCTGGATTTATAAGGAGTTGGCTACTCCCCCATTGCCAATTGGTTTTGGGGTGGAACCTCAACTTCCTTCATGGTATCAGAGCCAGGTTAGCCCACGTGTGAAAGCCCAACGGCCACACGTGCTCCACGTCACCCAATATGTGTTGTCCACGTGCTAGGCTTGAAAATTTGCCACACGTGCGGGGGCGTGTGAGAATGTGAAGGTAAAGAATCCCACATTGGAAAGTTGAGAAACCTAACAAGGGCTTATAAGGAGTTGAGCTACTCCCCCCATTGACAATTGGTTTTGGGGTGGAACCTCATCAACTTCCTTCACACGGGCTATTCAGCACTATCCTCCTCCTCCTTGGATTTGACAATCTTGAACTTGAAGGACCAAAGAACCTTCCTGCAGTTACACACTCCATTTTCACTCTCATTTGCAGCAGAGACTACTGCTTCTTCTTTTTTGGGGGGTGAAATGGGGGCCAAAGCCCAAGCAGAAAACCCACGATTTAATAACTCCAAAATACCATTTTTAACTCTTTTCGTGGGTCGCTCAAAAATGGGTTCTTTCTCCCAACTACGCAAAAGAGAGCTCACCAATCATCCCGCTATTTGTCAGCCTCTCTCTCTCTCTCTCTCTCTGTATGAAAGAAAACAAAAATCCCACTAAGCAAATCCCACTAAATCCTTAAACAATCCTTTTTGTTTTTTAAATCCTCCTTGGTGTTGGCGGCATCTGAAGCTGGCCAACAAGTCCAAAGTCAACCTATGAAGACTTGAATTGTTTATGGACATATGAAAATGGGAAGTGCCCTTACAAAAATGTGGAAGAATTGAGTATATGCCGAGAACTTTTGACTACATGCCCCAAAAGAACGTAATTTCATGAGCTGTTTAGTTTAGTATAATGCAAAGGGAACACCAAACTAAACCCAATTTCATCACATCTCTTAGTGATCTCTCAGCTTGTGGACATACGCTGGGCTGGTTGATAAGGGCGGTGAGATCTTTGGAAGTATGAATAGGGACTACTCACTAAAACCAAACGGGAGCTTCTATAATGAGGATGCTATTTGAGGAGTTTATTTGAGGAGGCCCATCTCACCATCAAAAGGGGTGTGGAGCCCCCAATGCACCCCCCCATGTGCTTTGTTTTTTGTTGTTGATGGTGAGATTTCACCTCCTCAAATAACCTCCTCACTCAACCTCCTCATTCTAGCTTTTCCGCACTAAATCGGCCACTATTTGGGTTGGAGATTGCCGAAACAAGTCCACTCATTATCTTTCAAAATTTTTAAAAGGTCCATGGCTCAAAGCCCAATCAACCTGGAGTTCCTGAAGACATGGGCTTAGCCAATGCTTTGTGTCTGGGCAAAATCTTTGAGCCTAAAACCCAGCCCATGTTTATCTGTAAGATTTACACCTGCTAAATGTGAGAGAATATAACCCTTTTTGAGGGAATTCTTTTCAGCTAAAACACCCCTATAAAAAGATCCATAGAATTAGGCTAATTCATTGTATGATTGAGTGGTGTAAGGTCATCCCCAATGGTTGAGGCTCTAAATATGGTGGATAGAGCCCTATTTAGAGCTCCGATGAAATATTACGGGCTCTAAATGTATCTTTCTCACAATGTGGGGCTCTATAAGTATTTTTTGTATGATGTAATTTATTTTACGCATTAATTTTGTTGTTGTTAACTTATTTTGTTTTAATGTATGCTTATGTTATATTAGTTTTTTTAACGAGCATTTCTATCCAAAAAAAATCAAAATTTGGAAAATATTAAAAAAAAAAAAGATTTGAAAGTAAACACAATAAAATATAAACTCCTAATGTTTCAAATTTGTACTTAAAAAAAGGAAGCATATTTAAATCTAGAAACATAGAACAATTGAAGTATGCCCATGAAAGAAAAAAACATGAAAGCAAAGAGGAAAAAAGAAGAAGAAGAAGAATGAAATAGTAAACGTAAAGGAAAAAAAGGACCTTTGCAACAGAAAAAGTAATTTTTAATGCTTTTCAATATGCAGGGCCTGCTGGTTTTTCATGCTTTTGTAGGTTCTGTTTTTCAAAATGTGGGGCCTGCTGGGGTTCTAAGGCTCTATACGAGTCCTCAGATTTAGGATTATCTCAGACCAGTTTTATGATATAGAGCCCAAAAATTCTGCCATTGGGGATGCCTTTTTGCACTTGGGCTCTATATTTAGGAGCCCTAAGGAGGTAGAGCCCAATTTAAGGCACTATAATATGGGTGTAAGACGGGTTTATATTTTATGATATGTAATAGTATTAGTAAATAAAATACATGTTATAACATGAGTCGATGGTAACACCTTGGCTCTATTACAATATGTAATAGTATTAGTAAATAAAATACATGTTATAACATGAGTCGATGGTAACACCCTTGGCTCTATTACAGTTCATAAAAAAAAATTCTTTTCAAAAGTTCATAATTAGGGTTGGGCACATGTCGGTTTAACCCAACCAAGCATTCCGACCGACAACCAAATCACCGTTGAAAATCAGTTTGGATCAGAACAGTTGTTGAAAAATCTTACGCTAGAGTCGAATTAAACCAAGATGGTCAGTGATGGTTATGTTTCTCCGGTTTGCTCGCAGAACAGTTGTTGAAAAATCTTACGCTAGAGTCAAATTAAACCAAGATGGTCAGTGATGGTTATGTTTCTCCGGTTTGCTCGGTTTTGACATTGGAGCTCCTACCCTGGTAAGATTTGACTATATCTGGAGTTGTGCAATGTGCAGTGACAAGATCATATCAGTAATCGAGTCATAGGAAACAGTTCATACTGCTTTGGTCCGATTCGGATGGAAACAATGGGAAAAAAAAAACCAACCGAGTCTAAACCAGCCGGTTCAGTTCGGGTGGCTGGTTTTCTTACCTAGTCTGTCATGATTCATATCCAAAATATCCTCTTTAAAGACGAACGATGAATTATAGTTAAGGACACGTATTACATGACCTTTATATTACTTGGCAGAGAGAAAACTACTGCTTGTGACAGTCGCTATGCAATTTGAATCCCTATAACCTTCTGTTGTGGTAGAAATATGTGTATTCAATCTCTAGAATAAACAGAGTCATGTCTTCCAGTTTCTGTTGCGTGATAATTAGTGAGTTTAGCAAAACTATTTAAACTGATGCAGACAATGCCGGACTCAGAAATGTTTCTAGACTTGGGCTAAATTATTTATTTTTTTGGGGATCTTTTATAACCAAGAATTTTTGGACTAATTAATATTATATGGTAGGATTATATGTTTTTTTATATATATTTATTATAGAAAATATGGTAGGATTTCAGTGGGTATAAGAAAAAAAATATGATGTGGGTGGCTAGGATAGACTGAATTCTAAAAGATAAGTGGGTTAATATTTAATTGCAATGGATTTTGTTGTATAATTAAGACTAAACTACAAAACTAGCACTGGACTAAAGCCCAGTCGAGCCCATTCGTAGATCCGCCATTGGATGCAGATCATATGAACCAAAATGAGTTTGGCATTTTTATGTCCAAATTGGTGCAACAAGATGAAGACCTTGAGTCACAACAATCAACCGAGGACAAGAATGATTTAACGCATTTTCTTACCAAAATTGACACTGCGTAACTCCCACGAGCCCTCACCACCTCACCTTGATCTCTGCCACAACATCACTCTCCTGCTGCTCATCGATCTCTCCTCACTGCGTGACGTCACCCCTGCAGGTTTTTTGTTTTTTAACATTTTATGTTTGACTCGGGTGAGATATTGTGTGGTCCATATGGTACGAGAGAGGAAAAAGAACAAAATCTGAGATAAAACTTTTTTTGGTTCTCTGTTGATCATGCTGTTATAGGGCAGCAATGGAAATATGAAAATGAATAATGTGAGCAAGCACAGTCGCCGGTCGAGAAAATGGAAAATGTAGGCTACCTGGACAATATTGTTTCATTGAGATACAAACATTAATCTGTAAATTTAGAAATCTATATGGAAAAGAAAGAAGTTATTATCTGTATCTTTATTGGCTAATCTGTTATTGTGATCAATTTGTATGCAATACAGATTACAGAGGTACTCAGGAAGTGATTTGCATGGTTTCACTGCTAAATTTGTGGATATGCCTCACCACTGTATGTAATGCCATTTTGCTCATGTGACATCTACACTACTGTTTTTATTTCGAATCAAAATGAATGCCGGCTCGACTTCCAAGGAAAAAAAGTCCAGGCTCATCACCATCTGCTACTTTACAATTACCGTCTCCCTTCTTTTGGTTACGTTCTTTGTTCTTTTCGTTACTCGTCTCTCTTCTTCTCTTTCCTACTTTGAATTTACGATTACTGGGAAAAAGACAAAGGAGGTTGGCTCATCACCATCTGCCACTTTACAATTACTTTCTCCCTTCTTTTGGTTACATTCTTTGTTCTTTCCAGTACACCTTTTGGTTACTCGCCTCTCTTCTTCTCTTTCCTACTTTAAATTTACGATTACTGGGAAAAAGAAAAAGAAGGGAGGTTTTTTTGTTTAGAAGACCAATAGGATAAAAGCAGAGATCCCCCCTAGTTAACCCTATTGTTGCTCCTACTTCCCTCCCTCTGCATCTCTCAACTCCATTCCTACCAATAGGATAAAAGCAGAGATCCCACCTAGTTAATCCTATTGTTTCAAATGTTGTTCTTCCTCAATTCTCTCACGGGTCGGGTACAACGGTGTGCTCAACTTGCACTGCAGTTCCGCCATGCAGACATGGAACCAAACTCTGACATCGTGGAAAAAAGAAACATCTTACTCGTGGTCGTGACCTTGGTCTCCGCCACTCTATATTCGGTGGGGATCAATCCTCCCGAGCTCCAACACTGTAAGTGCATTACCCCTGCTTGGAACGTAAAAAATTGCGCTTGTTCGGCCCTGACTCTTTTGTCGGTATTATTTATTTCACTGGCGCTGATGTTATCTGGTATCATGCTTATTATTCTGGTGGGTCGCAACCCTTTTGCACCCTTGGTTTATCTTCTCCTAATGGGTGCTGCCATTCCATACTGGTTT